AAGCGATGCGACAACCCCGCCAGTGATCTACTATACGTTGGACAGTGCACAGCGCGGATCTTTGGTCGCGATTGGTGCCCGTTGGAGGTCCCAGGACCTGGAATTGGAAGTCCACTCCTTGGGTGCGTTCTGGATGGCTAGGGCCAGCCCTCTGGGATGTGGTGCAGGATCCAGGCCAAGAGCGGGGAACTTCATTCTTCAAGGTTTTGACGGCGCTGCAGGGCTTGTTGCAGCAGGGGAAGATCCCGAACACAACTGTACCGGATGACAAAGACTTCGAACACCACGCGGACATCACTCTTCGGATTCTGTTGCGGCACTCCCGGGTTCACGAAGAAAAGAATCAAAGAAGGATGTGAGAGAGAGTGTGCTGGCCTTACTATGTGCTGGTGTGCGGAGAAAGGTGCGACAGACGCCTCCTTGTCTTCTTACGACGGCACAGCCCGTCACAAGCAACAGCCGTGAAGGGGTCCTGAAGCAGGGATGTAGATAGATTTATGATATTTTGTTTTGACTGGCTGGTTCTTACTACTGTAAAAGTTATGACTTGCGTCCACAAAAGCTGTGCTGAACATTTGCAGAAGGTTCTTGGTATTATCCGCCTTGCAAACCCTTTTGTGAATACTCAGGCCCCTATAATACACCCTAATAGTTAAACCGTGTAGAACACTGACATGGCCCCGTTCAAGGAACATCATTGGGAATCTCATTGTCATCTTGAGCCATGACAACCCTAAACCTTAAACCCTAAACCCTAAAACCCGAGCTCAGACTCCCCCGACGTCCATGCGTCCCCCAGGAGCGGGAATGTGACAGGAAAGAAGCAGGATTGTCATCCCCAGCTTGGGGCCCAGCTTCGGGAGCATAGGGGGTTCTGTCTTGAAGGGTCTGCGGGTTTAGTCAGGGTTTAGGGTTTAGGGTTTTTGGGGTTTCAGTACGGGTTTAAGATCTGGCAGGTTCCGGAATCTCATTCGTCCTCTTGTTTGCTTTTTTTGGTCTGTTTCTATCAGGGTTGGAGCAGTGTTTACGGTTGTAGGGTGTAGTGTTTAGGGCATGCGGTTTCAGGGCAGGGCACTTTGCAAGTAGGGTTGTAAGTAAGTTAAGTACAATCACCAGTACCTACAACCACAATTAGTGTACCTTCTTTCCTCCCTAAACCCTAAACCCTAAACCCTAAACCCTAAACCCTAAACCCTAAACCCTAAACCCTAAACCGTGGCTCTGACTCAGGGCTGATCCGCCAAGTAGGGCTTAAGTTTCGAGTCCCAGGGATCTATTTTTGTTGCACGAAGAAACGAGCCCAAACGAGTTTAGGGTTCGGTTCGCAGGAGGGGATTGCTAGGTTTCCTCTACAGGGCTCCATGCGTTTTGGGGGTGTGTCCCTACAGCAGGGATTATTTGCATGCCCACGGCATCTGTAGCAGCAAATAGGTGACAGTTTGGGGACTAGTGAAGCATCATTCAACGCTTATGAACTGGGTCGCTTCATCCAAACCCTAGATGGGTAGTCCTCTAGTTCTCTAGGTCCCTTTTAGGGTCCTTTTGTTAAGGGTGCCGTATCATTGTTGGGACTTGCAGCGGGACCCCAATTTAGAGAACTAGGTTTATGGCTGCAAGGTTTAGGTTCTGCCTCGCAGGGCAATCCAGCAACCTGTGGAATCGCTTGATCCAAGTCCGAACATGGCGAGCCCGCAACCTGAAATCCTGAAGACTACTCCGGCGAACGGTACAGCAGCCTCCAAGACTTGTTGCATCGAAGTCAGGACATGATAATTCGGAGGTCATAAACAACCTCAAAGCACAAAAGCTTTGGAATCCTACCAAAATGTATGATCTGAAGCGTAGAAGAGCTCTCAGCCCCGTAGAAATCCGCACACGTTGACCCAAGTGTTCGAGTTCTTGCCTTCCCAAAAACCCTAAACCCAAGGCCCCAGCCCTAAGCTCTAAAGCTTAACCAAGCTAAAGTGCAATCCCTAAAGGCCGTCTACAGACCATATATATATATATATATATATATATATATTCCCTAAGCTCCAAACAATACCGAACCGTAATCCCGAGAATCTGCAGCCGTCCGACAGCATCCGAAAGCCCGAAAGTCGAAGCCAGAAAGTTGAATTCAGGCGAAGAAAGAATCGGGAATTCGAGCATTGATCATCCTGTTCCACTCCCAAAAGCCATAAATCCTTGATCGACTCCGTGTAGAAACCCTGTCAAGCCCTTATCTTCAGGCCCCTTCTCCTAAAACCCTAAACCCCAAGCCCCAAACCCTAAGCCCAAAACCCCAAAACCCAAAACCCCAAACCCTAAACCCTAAACCCTACGAAAGCCCGACCCCTCCTACCTGAAGCCCCAAATCCTGAGCTCCTTTCACCACTAACCCCGAAAATCGACGCCCGAAAAGCTCCTAGAGCCCCGGTATCCGAGACCCTAAACCCATCCCTTAGCACTAAACTTCAGGGTTTGGGGTTTAGGGTTTAGAGTTTGGGGTTTGGGGTTTAGGGTTTGGGGTTTAGGGTTTAATTAGGGGTTTGGGCTTTGGGGTTTAGGGTTTAGGGTTTGGGGCTTAAACCCCCGCAACCCCAATCCCGGAAACCCTTAACGCTCTTAAAGCCTCAAGCCCTTAGATTGATCAGGTGCCTCTGGAAGTGCCTGGGGGAGGCCACCTGCCAGGAGGCCGTCTTCGATTTTTTTTTGTTCTTCCTACTTTCTCCTTGCAGTGCTTTTGCTTTAGGGGGGAAGGGGATGAGGATTTTCGTTTTATGTAAGGTGGGGCACGGGAGGCGTTGCGCCGCGCAGTGCAATCACTGGGCCAATGTGTCAAGTCGGTGTCTCTTTAGGGTTTAGGGTTTTAGGGTTTAGGGTTTGGGGTTTAGAGTTCCCCCAGCCGAGAAGTGTCAAATTGGCCTGGCAGCCGCAGCATCATGTCTGGACGGATTCATCCCTGTTGGGGAGATGTTGGCCGCACACCACACCTCTCTGCGCAAGGATATGCGAGTTCGAGACAACTCTAGAGAGAAGGAAGCCACCTGAAGAGCATGTAGCTACCAAGTGAAAGCAAGGCTTGAACCCTCTTCAGACCCAGTCACGAAGAAGCTGAGCATTTGGTGCAACAGAGCAGGAAGGCCGGAATCCATGGCTTTTCTTCGCCGTTGGCATTTTCCGGCCACAAGGAACAGTTGGCTGGGGAAGATCACTCGAACATGTACATTGCGCTTGTAGGAAGCTTCGCATGCCGCCGCATAGCCGCGGTGGCTGCAGAAAGCAGGTTTGGGATTTGCCGCCTAAAGTCCTAAAACCCACGTCCCAAGCCCTAAGCCTGAAACCCCAAACGCAACACCCTAAATCCTAGACCCTACAAAGCCCCAAAACCCCCAACTTTAAGGAACCCTTAAATGAGCCCCCCTGGACCCTAAACCTTGAAACCCTAAACCCTAAACCCTAAACCCTAAAACCCTAAACCCCAAAACGAGCCCCTTCGTGCAGACCTGCGAGCCCGTCTGCGCGCCGCCACAGTGCTCGACGAGCTGCCAGCAGCTGAAGATGGCGAAGTGCGTGCAGGCTGTGTATGCTGGGGTTTAGGGTTTAGGGTTTTAGGGTTTAGGGTTTAGGGTTTAGGGTTTCGGGCTTAGGGTTTAGAGTTTTGGGGTTTTACTGTTTTTGTTGTTTACTGTTTTTTCTACTCTCATTGCGTGGGGCTTGCCTGAATTAGATAATGTGTTTGTTGAGCTCGATAGGTTCTGAGAGAAAGTTTCATGAGGTTTTGTAGTTTGCCAGTTGCCAGGCTTTCTATGCGAGCTTAAGCCCCAAACCCTAAACCCTAAGCCTTAAGCCCTAAACCCTAAACCCTAAACCGAACTCGGATATGTAAAAGAGACTTATTGTACATTCGAGCTTCAGGCTTTGGGGGGTGTAGGGTCTACCTGCTGTTGGGGTTTAGGGTTTAAGGTTTAGTGGTTTAGGGGTTTAGGGTTTAGGCTTCAGGGTTTTAGGTTTCGGGTTTAGGGAAGTTGTTTAGAGGGTTCGGGCTAGGGCATTGTTCTTCCGTGCTGCAGAAGTCTTAAGGATGTCTCCCCGTTAGGGTTTAGGGTTTCGGGTTTAGGGTTCCGACACTATCAACGTGGTACACCACACCTCGGAACCTCTATTCTAACATATTCTAAGTATTGAGGGGCGTGTAGTCAATCCCAAATCAAGTCTCAGGGACTCTGTTCGAATTTTTGCGCCACGTAAAGCTGGCACCTTGCAAGTCAGATCATGGAACCGGTCATTAAACCGTTTCAACCTTGGTCTAGGACATTTTCAGGTGGGTAGTTACCGTTATAGGAGCCTTATAGAAGGTCTATATACCTTATAAAAGCCTTCTAGAAGCCCTATATACCCTAAACTCCCCACCTGTAGTTTCCTTCAGCTTGGACCCTAAACCCTGAAAGCTAGCAGCTTAACGCCTTGAAGGCCTTTGCCTTCACGAGATTCTTTCTCGTCGCAGGGTTTAGGGTTTGGGGTTTAGGGTTCAGGGTAGTAGGGCCGTCTATTTTGTTTTTCTCTGCGCTCCATGTCTGGCGGTTGAGAGAATTAGGAGCCGTCAGATTCAAGGTGTCATCAGTGCCACATCCTCGAGACGTGGATTTGCGGGGATAAGGAGTGCTAGGATTCACAGGTGAATGAGGCCAAAAACTGTCGTGCTTTGAGTAGGTGTTGAATGATTTTGTCGGAATGGAATGAGCCAGGACATGTGCGTTGACAGGTTCAAGGTTTGGCACAAGATAGTCCCTTGCCTTTGCTTGCCATGATGCTTTCAATTTTGTAGGCCGATGGGATGGTTCGAGTGTGGAAAGCTTCCGGAGAAAGTGCGGCCAACATACCCTCTGAGCTGGTCAGCGATGTTCGGAGCTTGAAGAAGCACTTGCGCGAGCTCTGTGGGGTTTCGCGATTCCGGCAGCGGCTATTGCAAGAAAGTCGGGTCCTGGAAGACGCTGCCACAGTGAGCTCAGGTGTGGATGTTCAGCTGGGTGGTACTTCCTTTCAGACGCGAGTGGGTGAATCTTGCTCATGCGGTTAGTTACGAGTCGCAGGAGAAGGTAGAAAGATTACTTCGCTATCTTTGTGATCCGAATATGGGAGACGACGATGGCACTCCGTGCCTTCACCTTGCTGCTCGGCGTGGAGATGCTGGCAAAGTCCTCTTGCTCTTGGAGGCCGAAGCTGACCTAGAGAAAGAGGACCAGTATGATGGTGTAACGGCTTTGTACATGGCTAGTGCGGCGGACAGTCTGGAAACGATGAGGGTTCTTCTGGACGCCGGAGCAAACAAGGCCAAGGCAGTCCGTTGTGTGTGCAGCAGGATATGCCGTGTTGGCTGTGGCTATGACGAGGACCTCGATGTGAAAGACGGCCGGCGGGCTCTTCAGCAACTGCTGCAAGCGCAGGCCGACATAAACCTCGCCGACCACTCTGGGAGGACGCCGCTCCATCTCCTTGTGATAGAGACGGTTATGGCGGCCAAGACCTCAGCAAGGTCGCAGGTTGGTTGTTGCAGGTCAGAGCAAACCCGAGCTTGGTGGACAATAGAGGCAGGACGGCACTTCATGAGGCTGCAGAGAGCAACCGTACCGGGGCCGTGCAAAGGCTTTTGAAGGCAGGAGCTGGAAGAGATGCTGTGGACAACGCAGGTCAGACGCCTTTAGTTGTGGCAGCTATCAGCAACAGTTCTCGATGTTGCGCGCGTGCTCGTTCTGGCGGGGGCAGACACGTCCTTAGCAGACAGGACCGGCAAGCGAGCAATTGAGCACAGGTCTACGAAGGCTATGAGGAAGCTCCTTGCAAAATAAACCTATACTACGAAGCCGACAACCTTACCTCCAGACATTGTGGCTTCCGTCGTGCAGAAAACGTCGACTAGGTTGATGTTGCTGATAAGCATCCCCTAACTAAGCGAGGCCGTCCTTTCTCGCCTGAAGTGCGAGCCCTGAATTCCCAAACCCTCTCCCTTAAACCCAAAACAGCAGAAACCTATTCTGGTTGGTCTTTCCGACTTGAAGCACGCACGCTGTAGCAATCGGTGTGAGCTTGAGGCATGATCTTGAACAGCTGGTGGTGCCATTCTCCGTCCGGGGTCCGTATGTGTGCTGAGGCTAAGGGCCCTCCCATAGAACGTCTGCTCTACGCCGGAGTTCTGTAAAGTTGTATTTACATCTACGTGACTTCTACACGTATTTGGTCTTCTGAAGACCAAAGCCAAAGTCGGAGTCTTAGTAGTTGATTGAGTGCACTTTTCGGGGCTCAACTCTGAATCCTCACCACCCCGCCGAAATACCCAGGTTTAGGCTTTAGGGTGTAAGCCCGACACCCGAAACCGTGAAACCCCAAACCTCCTGAGTCTCCGGCCAGAAGTGCGATTCGCCTCGCTGTGCCGTGATCTGCCCGGAGCCAGAGAGGGTTTAGGGTTTAGGGTTTAGGGTTTAGGGTTCAGGGTTTAGGGTTGATCCACTGCCACCTCTTTTCTCGACGGTGTGGTTTTGCTTAAACCCTCAACCCTGAACTCTGCATCCTAAACCCTACGCCCTAATTATAAGGTGTATTTGGGCGTTTTCAGGTGAGTGTATCTAACCTTGTCCTTACTTGCATCGTGAGCTTCAACCCCTTATGTTAGCAAACTCTATACCCTCAACCTTAACCCCTAATCTCCTTCCCTCATTCCCTAAGCCTTGTTTGCTTCTGGATGGCAACAGGTCGTTCAATTTCTCCTCAATCCGCCCCCAAAACCCTTTCTAATTATAGATGAAGGCAACGATATCACCCTAATCCCTTTGCACCTTCTCCCTGCCAATAAAGATCGCTAAGCCCTCAACCCCTAAACCCTAAGCCCTAAACCCAAAGATACCTCCAAGAAAAGGTCCGGAGAAGCAGTGCGAAGGCGGCAAAAACTGTGGCGCCTGCAAGACGGCGAGGGGGCCCGGTCGAGTTGAGCGTTGTTTTGCAAAAAAGACCAGGGTTGGGTTTTAGGGTTTAGGGTTTAGGGTTTAGAGTTCCTCGGGTTTAGGGGTTTAGGGTTTAGGGGTTTAGGGTTTAGGGGTTTAGGGGTTTAGGGCTTAGGGTTTTAGGGTTTAGGGCTTAGGGTGTAGAGTTCCTCATAATTCCTTTTGTGACCATTACAATCCCATCAGCATCTTCTGAATGCTCTTATCCAAAAACAAAGATATCAAACAAGGCTGCAAAGATTCCAAGACACGTTCGTTAAACAATTACATTGTCAGTGCTTTTTTCAATCATATCGTTTTCTGCTACAGCTTGTTTCCTCTGTTCTGAGGCAACCGTCTTGTTTTGTGTTCATAGCTCCTTCGTCCTTCAAACCCTAAACCCTAAACCCTAAACCACTAGCCTTCCACTCAAGTGGATTTCGGATGAGAGATGCTCTGTCAGACGGAAAAAGGCGTTCAAACAAAAAAAACCCTAAACCACTGCTGTTCGCGCACCGCTTTGTTTTCTTGGCCGAGGTCTGCGGAGAGCCGGTCTGCCGAGTGCAGTGCGAGCAGGTTTCTCGTGGGCTTGGGGGACGTTTAGGGTTTAGGGTTTAGGGTTAAGGGTTTAGGGTTTAGGGTTAAAGGTTAAAGGTTTAGGGTTTAGGGTTTAAGGTCTAGGGTTTAGAGTTTAGGGTTTAGGGTTTAGGACCCGCATCTTCCAAAATCCCCTGTATTCCTTAAATCATATTGGGGTTTAGGGTTTAGGGTTTAGGGTTTAGGGCAGATCCACTATAATATACGGTCTATTCCTATTCCCTAGCTCACGGATATGGTTGACTTCAGTCAGGCCTGTTGCTTCTTGAGCGAGACTCGTGTCTGCCTTGCTCGTTTCTTGGATTTTAGTCTTCGAGCCTTCGTCAAAAGGTTCGCTAAGAAAGTATAGTTGAGGTTTGAACTTTAAGCTCACTGTCATATGAAATATGAGTTTAATTCTTATTATTGTTGTTATGACTATTATTATTTTTAGTCTAGTTACTACTATCATTACTGTTATTATTAACCTAGTCAGCTTGATTAGATTTCTACATTGCCGTGCAGCAACGGCCAGGATTGCAAGACGACCTGCGCAGACCCGGTCTGTGATTGGAAGCCGGGAGCCCGGTCTGGGATCTGAGAAAGCTATGTGCCCAGAACATACTTGTGAATTTTAGGAGGGCCTGAATCCCGAATATGATTCAAGGTATCCCGAATTTGATTCAAGGTATATTATTCCTTAGTTGTGGATCTGAGAAAGCTTGTGGTTCGAAGATCTTAGCATAATGTAGGGGTAGAGTCTAAGGTCTCTTGCTCATTTACCGGGTTTGGAAGTCTCTGCCCTAAACCCTAAACCCCAAACCTGGGGGTCTTATCGGAGCTCTAAAAGGAACAGTGAACGCTGATAGGAGCCCCGGGAGTTGCGTTTCGATTCCTTCATTCTGATTGTGCTCGGGGGACCGAGAAACACGGCTTTATAGGGAGTCGTTCGATACTGCTCTATATTTGTCTCAGTATGGGCTTGGAAAGTGTTTTTATGGGATTTTAGACCGGTCTGTATGGGTTTAGGGTCTGCTCAACGGACCGGGGGAGATTCACTACAAGTCTGTCACAATCTGCTTTGTGGGTATCCTAACTCTATCCTACTTGCATTGCCCTGTCAGCCTCTGAGATGCAAAGCATGTGGTGCCTATATTCATGTTGGAGCATGTTCACCTTGGCTTGCAGTCTTGCGAATCAGAAACGAGGGTCGTAGATGGTCGGCGCGCGCTCACAGCCAAGGTTGAACATGCAGTTGACTAAAGAAGGGCCGTGTGCAAGCTTTTGCGGTCGCAGAAGCATGTTCAGTACGAACTGTTCTGTTTTTGCAAGAGGTTGCCCGCAAGATGTTGGTGCATGTGTCCTGCATGTTTGGCGGTCTGTGCTCGGAGTGTGGCATGGCAGTGGAAATGGACCGTTCCTGCCAGAATGCTTGGCGTCTCAGAGATCCAGAGACCACATCTTCACAGACATATCTTTGCCTTTTCCGAGCTGGAGCGGTGAGTCTGGACATCGGACCCATGGTAGTTATGGCAACATGAACCCCCAAAGCCATGTTCCAATTCTTACGGCAGCCATGGGTAGTTCTCTCTTTTTTAGGGGCCTTTTTATAGGGGTGGCGTACTAAAAACTGACCTAAAAGGGACCCTAATCCAGAGAACGACCCATATCGAACTCTTGTAGTACTTTTGTAGAACCCCATGGAAGCCCCTATAGATACCCTTAAAGGAAACCCGAAAAGGGACCCTAACTTCAGGTGCAAGCCCACGGCGCAGTGTCCCGAGCCAAAGTGCCACCTGAACTGCGGTCCTTCTCCGGAGCTCCTCGGGGGGGTGTAGTTTCGTTTCAATCACGAGTTTGGGGATTTTAGGGTTTAGGCTTTATGGCTTTGGGCTTAGGGGCTGGGAGTTTCAATCACGAGTTTGGGGTTTTAGGGTTTAGGGGTTATGGCTTTAGGGTTTCAGGGTTTCAGGGTTTCAGGGTTTCAGGGTTTAGGGGTTTAGGGGTTTAGGGGTTTAGGGGTTTGGGGTTTAGGGTTTAGAGTTTAGGGTTCGGGCTTAGGGGCTGGGAGCTTATGGTTTAGAGTTTGGGGTTTAGGGTTTATGGCTTTGGGCTTGGGAGCTGGGAGCTTATGGTTTAGGGCACAGTTTGAATCAGGGTTTGGCTAGAGGCTTCAGGGTTCAGTAATTTCAGAGCCTCTTCGTACGGTTGCGATTTCAATAACGGGTTTCGAAGGTCTCAGGGATCTTTCATGAGGTTCAAGTAGTCTTGCAGTAGTCGTCGTAGACGCCCTAGACCCTAAATCCTAAACCTTACACCATAAGCCCTAGACCCTAAACCCTCAGCTTGGAGTTCGATAGTACTCACCAGTTTTTTTGGGCTGAGGCCGTCCAGGGCGTGTACCTTTTGTGTGTAAAGTCTTTTGCTCATGATTGGTATTTGCATTATCATCTCTTCTAGAATGCTAGAAACCCTAAACCTGGTAAGGGTTTAGCGCGCACAGCCAAATTCAGGGCTTCACTTGGTGAGTAGGTGTGGGCTTGTAATGATGATGTAGGTCTCTGACTAAGGTTTAGGGCTCAGGGTCTATGGTTGCGAACACCCTGGAAAAGGACACCCAGCATAACCGGATTCCCCGCTACCCTAAACCCTATTGCTCAGTGAGGGCGGACGGTGAGTGCAAGCTGGAGGAGCCGGGAAGCTATGCTAAGGGTGGCTTGCCTCCGGTCCTTTGGTGAGAGATTCGGCAGTCTTTGCCGGTCGACGTCCCGGGGCGGCATCTACATCGATGCGGCCACGTCGAAAATCAAAGGTTACTATAGGGGCCCAAGCTGGTGATGGTCGTGATCCTTGGATGCAGAGAGTTCTTTCCAAGAGCCTAGAAGCTTGAATGTTGGTCGGACGAAGGCTGCGCTCCGCGTGGCATGCCCGCAACATGACGAAAAGACGTCACAGCTTTTAGCCTTTGTCTAGACTAGAGGGTGGCCGGAGCCTGTGCCCACTGCTGTTCCACGGTTTTGAGTTTAGTGTTTAATTGGGTGTTGAGTTTATCCTGCAAGTGAATCTCACAGCGCCTGTCTAAACCCCAAACCCTAAACCCC